TGTTGAATTTTATAAACATTAAAGTCGGAGTATTATTTTTCGTTTAAAAAAAGTATTTGGTATTTGCGATTATAATTTCGTGGTAAAATAATTATGGTTAAAAGCTCCATTTTTAGTTATTACTGTTATAATTAATGTCTGTAATAATTATATTTATAGTTTTACGAAAAAATCTATAGTTGGCATTGAAAGTGGCTATAAATTATAGTTAAATTACGATAATTGCAACTTTTTCCTTTCAATTTTTTCTTATTTGTTTTACAGTTAAAAATCGTCTGAAAAAGTTTTACAATCATTGTAAAAAATTCTACGAGGAGAATAAGAGAGGGTGAACGTAAGCTAAGCGATCGCAGCTATTAGCGCTCACCTCGATCAATTGCGCGATTTCTCGCGAAACGCCACGCGATGTTGGAAGCACGCGATAAATTAATTATGAGGCCGGAAAATTAATCGTCTCGAGAGCCGTGATAATTATTGCGGCATGATGCGCCTAAGTTTTATTGTCGGACGATTCTCGCTGGCGATCACCCGAAATCGATATCGCCGTGCATTTGCGCGACGATTTAACGAATTACTCGACGAGGACGAGTCGCGAGCGCGAGTCATACAATTGATCAAGATATCATCGTGTCGTTGTTGCGCGTTCGGTGTTCGAGACGGCAGACGTGATATATGAAGCACAGGCCGATTGTCTGGCTTTACGGCGTGACGCAAGAGTGAAAGCCCGCTTATGGGACACGCGTGATTAATAACGCGCGTTCACGTTTCGCGAATCGGATACGAGGCAAAGAAACGCGCTCGATCGAGAGCCATCGGGCCGCATCGGCTCGCCACGATAGGCTTTTAATAATCGCTGTAAACACGCTGCCCGCCGTGTGATATAAATTATTCCGCGATAGCTAATCATCGATGCGCGCGAGTAACGATTCTGCTAATTTAGCGATTATCCTCGCCGCTACGGAGAACGGTGGTATTTCGCTCGTTCAATGCCGCCGTGGTCTTTCATTGTCTTCGATAGGACGGAAAGATAGCAGCGTGCCGTTTACGTGGAAACATAATGAATGGATGCACAGTGAACAATTAGCAGGGAATGGCCACTGACTCGATTGTTTTTGCGATCGTAGGAAATAATATAATTATATTTTTAGAGGATTTATTATGGAATGTAATATTATTACAAAATAAATGCACACCGAAATATTTAAGCATTAAGATCCACTTTGATTGAAAATAATTCTCTTAATTAGATTTATTCTCATCGGTCCAAATTCGTATTATAATTAATAATATTATCAATTTCTTTCATCGTTATGTCATTATCGATCAAACCCGTTGTTTAATATTTTATGTGCCCGCAATTATTTTTTATTTGTATTAAAAAAATTGTTTTTTTGTGTGTATCAGAATATATGAAAAGAAATTCGTACGGAACATTTCTCGAGCCATCACGTAGTGATTCGCAGTAAAATCTCGCGCCGCACCCGCGAGGTCGAGAAGCGATTAGGCGCGCACGGACGACTCGATTGTATATTTCACCGAAGAAAATACCTTTTTATCCCTTTATGCCACGCATTTTGTGCCTTGGAACGTTGGCATTTATTTGGCAATGATTCACGGGCCGGTTTCTTGCCATTTCACCAATGGGTCGTTCATTAACCTTTTTGTGGATAGATGCTACCGCTATTGTCTCGAAATTTCGCATTCGATTTACAAAAAAAAATTCTTTTGTAGTTTTTATAAATGTTAAATTTTTGCATTGTCAATTTAACCTTAAGTGAGTGGCTGGAATGGCCACGACACTCTAAATAGTTTTCTTTAAAATCTTATTCTGGAAAAGGAAAATAAAAAAGTATTGCCGTAGGCAAAAAAAGTTTAATTTTCTAGTTATATTTTTATTAGCATATTATATTATAGCTAAATTTACATTAAACCCTTATAAGACAGAGGAATGTACAAATAATAAATTAGTAAAAAAAATAACTAAAAAATTAAAATTTTTTTAATTATTCTGAACATCCTAGCTATACTAACTTGCGTGTTTTTAAACTATCAATCTTTTTAAAGTGTTAAATGCTGCAATTATGAGCATAAGATAATATTTTCAAGAATCGATTACCGTTATTGAAAATTTTGCGATGTCACGATAATCTTACTGGTAATTGAAAATCTGCTGAAGTTTTATGTATAAGTAATTTATCTATTTATATTTTTTTATTCGCTCTTTTATATGTTACACACATAATTTACATTAAAAATTGCGTTATAATTTTAGTTTAATACCATCAAGAATTCGAAAACTGTTTAAAACTGCTGATGATCAGTGATAGCTTCAACTTTCCATTTCTGACATATCGCAATTCGCGCCAGTGCTGATTTCATTGAATCGCTTGTAATTTTTCGCAAGATAAGAGAAAACGATTTTAAGAGTTAAATCAATATGATATGGTGTGAAGACGCTTCTTCTTTTTCAGTTTTCTCTCTGTCAGCGATTTTGTCGCCTGACTTTCCTTGGAGCAAACATAAACATGCACTAAGTAACGTTTCTCTACGGAATATTACTCTTTTTTATCCAACCAGCTCCATTAAGGGATCGCTAAGGTCTCATTAAGCTGCGGGACCACGGTCAATGCGAGACAGCGGCGCCTTTAGCACCGACGACATTCTCGAAGTTCCTGCGAGAATATCCGCGATATCCACCTCCGCCTGGATTTAATGCGCGAGCTGCACTTTTACGCGCAGCGCACACGAGAAGAATTGTTATGCGGCACGCTCGAATGTTCAAAGATTCTTATAAATGTGGATGATCTATTTAAGAAACCTCTCATCGGTATAACGAGAGCATTATACACCTTTTTTTTTCTATATTTTCGCGCGTTTAGCTCCTTTCACGTTCGAAGTGTGCCATTAATTTCCGCGCGAACGCCTGGCTACGCCTCGAAAGTGAAAGACGATGCTTCCGCTCTCGTTCTGTCGTTCGAAAAAATCGCCATTGATTTTTTATGTTACAACGACGTTGATAAACATGCTTCTACCCATACAGCACAGAATTTGCAGCAATATCGCTGTAATAACGCTACAATATTGTTGCAACATGCAATAGCGCTGCAATGTTGCAGAATTGTTGCTGCAACTTTTGTGCTGTAGGGGTATCATTAGTCTTAGCTCAGTAGTTAATTTACAGCTAATTGATATATCTTCTTCGCTGTACTTTATCGCATCATGCTGTTAATGTCTCACATTACTTCAAAGCCATTGCTGGCTTTTAAAGACTTAGGTTTTCTCTCAAATTAACAAACACTCTTGGAAACTCTAGCTCTTCGTTGAAGCTTTCTATTGTCTCATAGGCTTCATCGATCAGTGAAAAAGGTCGATGAACCTTAAAGTCGAGCTTGTACGCTTACGACATATCTTGTGGTTGCCCAAAGCATCAGCGGATTAACGGGAGAATCATGCTCCATCTCACCTCAGGGAGGACCGCAGGACCGTGAATAGGAGGCGAAGGAGTCGGCGGCGGCGTGAAGGAGGAAGGACGAAAAGGGGGGGGGGGGGGGGAGGACGTGGCGTGCGGTAGAGACGGGGTAGAGAGGGCTTAGTGAGGAAGGGGACGGCTCGCGGACGGCTGAAAGCGAGGGGGGCCTCGACAGGAGGATAGGGGGCAGGGGCGAGAGAGCGGGAGGAACACGCTCTCCCTCCGGTGCACACTCTCGTGGTGACTCCGACCGGCAAAGTGCTCGCGTTCGTGAAAGTCCACAGACGACTTTCAGGGTCGTCTGCTGCGCGCGTTCGTCGTCATCGTCGTCGTTCCATCCCGAAGCCGGCTGGCGGCTTCTCGCCGAGAAGAAGCCACCTCGAGAGGTGAGAAGATCGGCGCTCTCTCGCACTCCTTCAAGTTTCATCGAGACACGAGGACTCGCGAGGATCCGTCAAAGATTGTCCTTCACTTCTCTCCCGAAAAAGCATCAAAGGTGAAAGAAGAAAGAAAGAAAGAGAGAGGGAGAGAGAGAGGGGGAGGGAGAGAGAGAAAGAGAGAGAGAGACAAAGAGTATCTGGACATAAGACGTTTACGGCTCGATGACCGTGAGATTCGGAAGGTGTGTCCTTACTCGAGAAGTACAAAGGATTCGGTGAGCTACTCATCGCAACGGCAATAGAGATTCAGGTGTATCATTCAGTCGCGATCATCGTCCACGTTGTTGTGTTTGTTTATCCTGGTGTGACGCTCCCTTTAGTATCTGAAGAAATTCCAGTTTGATTTTTGCTTAGACTGTGGAGATCTGTATGAACCGCTTCTTTAAGATGAAGAAATGGTTCAAGCCTGTGAAGAATCTGTGCGGTTAATCGGTTCAGTTAATTTGATCGTTTTGTCAGGAGTTTTATTAGTGGCATACCTTTGTGTCATTTCAGAGCTTAATTCGATATCAAAGCGTCACATTTTGTATTAGAGCATCAGTTAATCTCTTTTTGTTGAAGAGATCTCGTGGATGTGAGATAGTTGGTGAAAAAACAGATACATTTTAAAGGTGGCACGATATTTTATCTTCACTGAACGGTGCTTCTGATGTTACTTTCAGAAATCTTAGTGTACCTAGATAGTTTCAGTGCTCGTGCACTAACGTCAAGTATAAATACATACGCACGGTGGATGACGAAGGATCAGGGATCGATCGGCATCGACGGTAGCCGTTGGGCTGGTTCGATATACGCGAATAATAATAGGTTAGCGCTCGTACACTTAACCGTGCGTGTCTCAGAGCGCCTACGTTCCTCTTTCATGCCTGGAGATATCACGAGAAATTAACGACAGCGTTCGTCGATAAAAGACTCCACAAATTTTTTCATAAAAAGATTACTTCGTAAAATCTTTTACTGAAGAATTTTTAGTGATATTAATTGCTATATATCTATCTATATTGGAAATCACACCCACTTGTATCATTGTATATACATACATACAAACGATATCATTTGGGTGAGATATAACACTTCTTGTCTTCAAGATTCCGTTCCTCGCGAAGATGACGTCCCGCTTGCGCGGCCCTTCGGCAGTGAAGGACACACCGAGGGCCGCTCCGTTCGCCAAGGACCATTTCCATCGAAGCGAGGCGGAAGTACACTCCAGCCGGTCGTGCAAGAACGGCGGGCGCGGCAATCGTTATCATTTCGGCATGTCAAAGCAACAGGACAGCAAGGTAGAGCGGAACGGACAGGAATATAATAAGAACTTTGCACAGACGGAAGAGAACAATGTCGATCTGTTATACAAGAAGAGTAGAGAGCACTTTGGTTCTTGGGGCATTAAGGACGTCGTCCAAGATGACACGAGAAAATCGAGGAAACAGGATCCCGAAGATATGCAACTGACAAATGGAAAATTCAGGAGCGAGCCTGTAGGTGCAAAGACGGATAAATCGCACGATCGTCCGGAGTATCGAGATGAAGGATACGTGGGATCTTTACCGAGGGAGGGCCGACAAAAAGACGAGTTCGTCGAGAGAGACCTCAACGGCTCTTATAAATCGAGAATGAAAGAATCCTGGGAAGAGGAGATGGAATCGAGGAATCGAGGCAGGATATCCAAGATTAACAGAAGCAACGACAATAATAACGATTTGATGCAATCCGTCGACGAGAGAGATATATTGCTTAAGGAGATCGAAAATTTAGCTACCGATGGCAGTCAGTCGCCGGACCGTAGAATCCAGGCGATGATCGAGCGATTGAAATCACGAGAGGAGAGCAAATTACGATCCAAGAGAGAGCAGAGATCGACGAGTCCTGAAAAGGAAACGCATGGCAAGACGAAAAACGACGGTAGGAATGATATAAGATCGCCGACCATTAATTATCCGCACGATAATTTATCTAACGAACGAGGTCGGAAACTAAAAGATGATCGCGAGGATGAACCGCGCAGATCGAGCGAGTCCAAGCTGCGTGGAAAATATGATCGAGAAGAGGATGCAGTTCAACGTGAGCGATCTACCGATCGAAAATCGAGGAGCTCTGAGAGGCAGAACGAGGCTCGCGAGCCTCGACGAGACGACAGTTTCCGAAAAACGAACGACACTTACAATGCCGAGAGAAATTATCGAAGGAAATCGACAGAAGACGAAGAAAATCATCCTCGATCGAGAGACAATTCTTCAAAGAGGAGGAGTTACATTTATGAGGGTTCGCCCGAGGATTTTGACGTGAGGATACAGAGGTACGATCGGGCTCTTCTTGAACCTAGGAGAGACCTGGACAGAAGTTCGCCCAGGCGAGGTTCGTCCAGAGAACCAAATCTGACTAGGAAGGAATCTCTAAAGGAGTACGATCGAGAACCGATAACCAAGAAGAATTCTTTCAAAGCTGAATCTAAGAGGGCGACTAGCAAGGATCGCGGTGAGTCTAATTTGGCCAGAAAAACATCGTTTAAAGATCGTGATAACGATGCGTATAAAAAACACATTTCAAAAAATCAACACGAGACCTCGATTAATTATTTCGGCAAGGATCAGGAAGGCTCATCATGTAAAGATTCCTTCAAAGATGTAAGCACAGATACAAATAGAAAAGGTTTCTTTAGGGTACGAGATGGTGAATTTGATAGAACTTTCCTAAAAGATCAGAATGATAATGCGGAGAAGAGAGTCTCATCCATGGAACATGCGGGTGGCGTCAGCAGAATTGTCCTGAGAAATGTTGATGACGAATCGAGCAGAAGCAACTCGTTTAAGAATGTAAACGAAGATTCCGGGAAGAAGAACTCGTTTAAGGAAAAGAACGTCGAGTTTGGCGAGATTTCCTACAAGGATCATGAGAGAAATTTAGAAAGGAGGAAGAACAGTTTCAAGGACGATGATAAGGAATTAGGGCGAGCGTTGTATCACGATTACGAGAACAATATCGATAGGAAAACTGCGAATGATCGATATATAGAGTTCGGCAAGGTATCCTTTAAGACGCAAGATGACGAACTACGTGTTTCAAGTCCTTTCCAGGAGGAGACCAACAAAGCAATAGTCAGAACGAATTCTTTCAAGGAGCGTGACGCTTCCCCGAAAAGACGCCCGTCGTTGCGAAGCAAAGATCACGAAATATTTGACAGGAAATCGGATAGACACACGAGAACGTTGTCGCCACCGAAGAAAGATGAGGTAGATAGTAATGCCAAAAACTCGAAAAATTTCTGCGCCAAAACTTGGTACGAGAACAACCGGATTTTCTCCGCGAAGTATCTGCGGGATCACAGTAAGATGCGAAATGCTCCAGAAGGACAACTTGACGTCGACGTCTCGCCGGAGCGAGGATTCTTGATCCTGCAAGACACACGGGGCGGCACAGTCGAGACAACTACGAACGATCCTGAGGAGAATCGCTTCGAGACGCGTGGCAAAATTGACTCGGGCGACAGCGAGTCGCCGCGATTTTCCTCGACTCGTGATCGCAACGGTGCAACGATCATCAGGATACGATCATCGGAAGATTCCGGCAGCGCAGCAGAGAGGCGCCGGCGGCGTCGTCCGGCGCAAGAGATATGCGCGGTTAGACCCAGGAAATACGAAGACGACGATGAGGACAGCGACGAGGACGAGGAAGAGGATCGTTGGCGGAGGACTCGAAGGGACGGCGGAATCCTGCCGGGGAGAGGCGGCGGCGGCGGCGGCGGCGGCGGAGGCGGCGGCGGTGGAGGCGACGCCGGCGGTGCGACGCCCTCGAGAACGATCTGGAACTACCGTGAAGGGGTATGGCACTTTCATGAGTCAATTGCTTTTGATCGTTCCTTTATGGTTCAGAGGCGCGAGGCGATTTTCATAAATCGCTGGAGGAGATGAAAAAGGTGGCAGTCTTGGTTGGAAACGATAAGCGTCACGTAACGTTGATTCGTGGCGTTTATATCGAGGATAAGTTCCCGAGGAAGAGAAAGCCCAGCTTTCCCGTTCTTTCGACCCCCGTCACCATTTGCAGAAATGATCGGCCTATAGTTACGGCGATTGTGTCAATTTTCCACCGTCCCTGGAATTCGACTCGAAGCAAATTTGTTCCAACATTGAAGTCGTGCGAAGGTGAAATTGTAATGTCGCGTGTGGTCGTAATGCGAGAGTCGTAATTCTTGTTCTACTCTCATCTCGTATAGCAAGGCACTAGTGGATGGTCGTTTATTAAGAAATATTGTTCGATAATTCAATCCTTTTGCTAAACAGTATTATATTTATAGCCGACATATGGCTTAGCCATTGAATAAGTTTTAAATTTTCTTATTGGTTTCGTGCAAGCGATACATAGGTTATCATTTGCAATTAATAACGGAAGATGATATTCTTTAATTTGAAAGTAAGATTATTACGGTCATAAATCATGATAAATTTTTGATAGTTAAATATTGGAAAGAGTTAGTTATTGATTTTTTAAAAATAAAATATACCGTTGGCGCATTTAATATTCATTTAAATGATACCAGAAATATGCAATTAAACGATATGTCTACTAAATAAATCATGGACTTAATATTATGTATATTATTTAATAGCTAATAAGCATAATTACAGACTATTGGCAGAATTATCATTTAATACCTGAATATTATAGAATTAGCGTGCAAGCGTTATTATTATAACTTCAGTAAGAGAGAGAAGGGTTAATTCCATACTTATAGCTATAATTGAAAATTATAAGAAGCTTAATCTCTCTCTTTTTTAAATATAACATTTATTTTTTATATGATTATCACAGAAATAAACATAAATTCGATGATCATTTACCGATGGACTTACAGTAGCCATTTTCTCGCGAACAGAATTTGAAAAGTTTGAATATACGGATTTATACAATATCATTTAAATGATGAGACATATACCGAACTGGTTTGATTTGCAATATCGTAGTCTGTGCGCACTTTGTGTGTTTACTTATCGACGATTTTCCGCGATCGTGGCGACGATTTTGGCGAGCGAAAAGCGGCATTGTTATCTCTCGCACGTTGAGTACGAGCGACTGAATCACCATGGAAATCTTGCGCAATATTACACGGCCTCGTGCACTAAAATTGCAATTTGCCTGGAATTTCGCGATGGCCGTTTTACGGTCGAGAGAGCGCGATACCTTAAAATTAAGTGGCTATATTGGAGATGATAAGTTTCGTAACTTGCGTGAATATAAACGCAGCAGCGAATTGTGTGTAGCAGGATTTTATTAAAGATCTCTCCTGAATAATCGGTCTCATCAATTTTATTCTCCAACCCTCGCAATGCGTTACATTTACTAAACACCGCATAAAATAACTTTCCCTCTCTTGATATATAAAATTACAATGTATTACAATAATTTTATTCATAAATTTATTGTCATTCAATTTATTATATTGATCAATTTATATTAATTTTCTCTCTTCCATGTTTTAATCATCTGCTCTTGTTAATATTATTAATGTGCTTTTTTATTTATTCTTGTTACATGCATTAACATTACTTTTATTTTCATTTTTTAATTGTAAACATATTTTACACGATTTGCAAGAACTGTTTTTTTTTTTAATTAAACAATATCAATGCCCAACCTTATCGATGTTCAAATGGCTTGCTGGTTTTTTAACAAACTTCGTAAGCGTTTCAGACCCATCCAGAACAAGCAATTTATAATCTTCATTTATCATCCACGCCTATTTACGTCCACAGGGTGCACAAATTACGCTTCACCGCGGTTCAATCCGATTAAGTGAAAGCTAAATACCGGTAGCTTGACTGCTACCATTGCTAATCCTTTAAATGGTAATGACGCAATGACTCGCTGTGATCTTACTCATGAAAAATGTTCGTAAAATCAATTTTATCGCAGCATATTATTATCATCCAGTAAATATTATTTTCTACTAAAACAATTAATTAATTAGGAAAAAATAAGTCGAGAAAATAAAAAATTCGTAAAGGAGTTCCTATCATATAATTTACACATACATATAACGTTAATACCAAAAGTAAGATGTTATTACTTGCATTCAAAATCTCAATTTTTATTTAATAATTTAAAAAGTAGATTTTTATTTTTGCTCTTTATACAAAAGAATATATATATAATTAAGTATTGTTATAAATAGCGCTAGAAGAAATAATTTTCACTCCAATCTTCGTAGTTGCAACTGAGATGAGCGAAATGGTTCTCGTCAATTTTGAGGTAATCGAGTCGATTACGTAATTCGATTTCGCATTTTGCATCTTGAAGCAAACCAAATTTTTCCAGCGGGAATTACTTATCAATTTGTCGTCGAGTCTGCCGTGGCACAGGTTTTCAACGCGCTAACTTTCGTAATCACCTTGCCTATTGGCCAACGCGTCATGCAAATGTCAGTGAACCGCCCACGAGCTGAATGGCCAGTATCGCGCGTAGGACACGTCGTTACGGATAACATCTCTCCTTAAACGGGTCGTCGCGTTAAAAATGCGGCCTTTGTCCGCGCGGGATAATCGAGTGATCGGTTCGTTAAGGGGGTAGGTATGAGTGTTGATCCGTTATGTTCTAATCAATCTTCCAAGATCTATAGAATGAATTTAGACGTTAATTATATTGGCCGAATGCGGAAACAATACCTCATAATTTTGACGATATTTAATGCCGGTATTGAGAATGTTACACTAATCAAGAAATAATAAAAAAAACACAGTTTAACTCATTTAAATAATTATAAGCGGAAATCATTTAACGTTTAGTTTTCGGAAAAATACATTTAATTGGTTATATAATTATAATTCTAAATGCGAATTAATATTTCGACGTTTTAACAGCGGTTATGATCCGTTAAAAAGCAATCGAGCGAAAGTGCGCAACCGTCAAATTAAACCAGATTCGCCAAACTGCATTCTCGCTACAATTCTGCGTTATAGCAGCGCTGTTGATTTCGAGTGGCAAATGATTGGAATAATTCTTCACGATGCTTGCGGTATGTTAATTCTAAATAATCTGTCTTCTTGAGCAACGTAGCCGCAATCAAAAGCATCGTTTAATCATTTCAAGAGCTACTTTTGCGCATAAAATTGTAGATGGATGAAAGGTCCTTTAATGCTTAGAGGGATAATTAATCAGAAACATATTAACGCAATAAAGTTGTAAATTCAATACTTTCGAAATTTTTTAATTGGAGTCACATTAATTTATTTCTATAAATTAATTAAAAATAATCTTTATTAAATCTTCATCAATCGTGATTTTTCATTTTATACTCATTTTAGACATAAGAAAATTCAGATACCGAAATATTTCTGATGCAGACTCGAAATAATTAACCTCTCGTTTCTCCTGTATTTTTTTGCGATCCGCCTTGACATCGCAAGGAAAAGAGGCCCTTCACCGCGCGGTGAGTCAGAACGAAAAATATGTTAATTAGATAGCAACGTTCAGCACGCTACGAGTATCGTTATTCGGTATTGCTATATATAGGCAGCTAGAGACAGATCGGCGACGGCCGGCACATTTTCCAACGCGTGTCTACTCGATATTTGGCGATGAGGCCAGCAGCGAGAGAACCGAACGTGGGCAGACCGACCATATACGCCGGCCGGAAGGTTCTTGAACGCATCCAACGCGCTTCGGGCGCTTTCTTCCATCCAACACGGCGGTTTCTTCTTCTCCTCTCCCTTTGTAGACAAACCGGTGACTGTGGGCCAAGACTTAGAAACCTCTTGTAGACCCGACTGGCGCAAACAGTTTCCAGACACTCGGCGGTTCCTTTAGTGCAGTGATTTATGATCTCAGAGATCGATATCAATTCTTTAACCATTCGTAGCAATCACATATTTCGTTAAAAGTTGCTTTTGATAAATTAAAAACTTAGTTTTAAATTATTATAATTAATATTTTTATGAATAAATAATATTTATGTTTTTAAAAATCTTTTATATGATTATGCTAATTTTCTTATTTTCTTCTTTTATACAAGGTTAAATAGAAATACAAAATGTAATTATATCACTTCGCGACATAAAATTGTACAATGGTACACTGAGAAAAATTAAGTTATTTGCGATATACGATATTTATTTTATTGAAATAAATCCTTATTTAAACATACACATGAGTGAAAAACGCCATATTCAGTCAAGGCAGTTATTCGTATCTAATAATATTTTTTATAAATGGATACAATTTCCAGTTCAAGTTAACCGTGTCAATTATTTATAGGTCTTGAAACACGCCGAAGCTGATAATTAGTAATATCAAATTAAATTGAAATAATTTAATGTTATTGCTGCAAATAAGCATCGTAGAAAACTGTTAATGATTTGATGCTAATAAGCATCTTAAAAACTAAATAATTTATTGCGAAAAAAATATTATAGCCGAGATTCCTTATTTAAATACAGCGTATTCCTGGCAAATAACATTCTATTTTGTTTTTTACAATTAATGAGATATATTTCATAGAAATATATATCTTATAAATATATTTCGTCATCACAGTCAAATCTTTTATTCCCAAATATCGAAAAAAACTTTACATATAACTTGTGAATATTTCGACTTTTTCCTCAATATTACGCATTCTCGCTAGTTCTCAATAATTCCATTTCATGCAAATAGCATGTCTATAAATCAATATTTAGTATATGGTAAAGTACAGTTTCGAACATAATACAATTCTGAACGAAATAAAATAATCCAATTTTCGAGATTCAAATTTGGTAATACTGATCTCAATCGAAGGGAGAAAAAATCAAAGAGGAAAAATCAATCTTAAACTAAGAAGATTAAATTCAAATTTTATTTTGTTCAGAATTGTATCATCTTACCCTATTACTATTTTACATAGTTCCATTTATCCTTCCTCTCGATGAAACACGATCTTCTTTGAAAAAAACCTCATCAACTTGATATCCAGTGATCACCGACGTGTTAGATGAGCGGGAGAAATAAACGCGCTGTCAAAAATACTTGAAACGTTTTTAAAAATGCGATGGCAGCTGGTGACTAACGCACGGTGAAACATCCATTATTTACGTTGCTCGAGCCTGAGCAATTTCAACTTCTAGGGCATGCAAGGAAATCGACGTGTTATTAATGTTTCCTGAACGGTAATACGAGGTGATGGTTGCACCAGAAGTGGCCGATAACTTGGCTCGATGATAATGTAATACACCTATTGCATCCTGCCCGCTCGTCGATTTATCTAATGTGGAAACTGTTAATAAATGTACTTAAAGCTTCCTTCCTTAACTTGTAGACTGAGCAATATTTTACGTTCGACATTAAATTTCCGGATACCGTTTATTTGGTTTAGTACATCCTTGTTGGCTTGAAATCTTTTAATCTTTATAGCGATAGCTCTTATTTTTTTTTTAATTAAAAAAAGTCGTAGAAACAGGCGTTGAAAATTAAAAAGAAGAGAGAAGCAAAAGACTGTGTACTATTATTTGTTAATCAGAAAGAGATACATAATTTTACTCGTATAATAAAATTTGCTTTTAACGCAATCAGTCAGCTCAGTCGCAGTTAACGTTTGTTTCATGTCACTGATTCGCCGACGCATCAGCGATTATTATTAGTGACGTGCGCTCATTAGCGGTTCATCGTTCTCTTACGAATGAGATAAACACTACCTTGTATAGTGACATAACAAGGCTCTCGCAATTAAAAACTTTTCCTAATTGCACGTGGCTCATCGTTTGGTTTGGACCTTGTCCTCATTCGCACGTGTCAGCGAACGTCATGCATATACGAAATAACGTCGTACTTTCTCCGCGTCGAATTTTTTTTTCATCTCGAGGAAAAATTCGTGGGTTAGAATTTCAAAGTGCTAACACTTCGCTTTTTGGGAAACTCAGTATATTTCTAATATCAATTTTTCTTTACAATTAGATGTTAACATAGAATTATTTTAGCTATTGATACTTTAAAGTAAAAAAAAAACCGTATTGTAACTCAAAACTGCAATATAATTCTGTATACATATCTTTTTAATCAATACATCTTTATTTCAATATTTCATGTTAAAATATATTTATTGTATGTTGAAATATTATTAATTTGTGCAGTGATTTTTTTATTCAAAGCTGCAAAAACTTTTTTTCTTGACTGCAACGTCGAGAGATTGACTTTGAAAAAAAAAAGTTATTTAATATTATAGTATTGACGTACGATAAGTAAAATAATATTGATATTTTGTTATATTTAAGTAGGATATCTTTATTCGTTTATCGAAATTGTCATCAAGTTGCAGATTCATAAAACAACGTTTGCGTGCATAGCGTTTGTTTAACATTTACAATGATCAAGACCTTTCACTATTCTGCAATTAATGCGATTTCATCGGTCACGTTGATCGAGGACGTTTGCATTTATTGGAATTTGGACATTTACGTTCAGACATTTTAGACAAACAATCTGTTGAATTAATTTGAATTTTAATTTGCTGATTGCTTTCGATATTTATCATTGATTTATAAATTTTTTAAAAGTGTTTGTACGTTAATTATTGAATTTTTCAAAATTGTTTTTAAATTTTTATAATAATTTCATGAAAAGAACTATATATTAAATTAATTTTTGTGTTCATTTTTATCATTTAATGAAAATTAATGGTGATATTTCGAATATTTGGGTCGAGCATAGCAACTCTTTCGAAGATTATATTATTGATGAATAGGCAAAATATAAATTTACGTGCTGCAAACTTAATTCATACAAAACAAAACAGATTATTACAATTAAGAATTAAGACAATACTAATATTAATATTTTAAAATATATTAATTTATTATATTACATTGACGTACTATATTATTAATTTATATATTTATTTATCATGTACTATCTATTTATCAACGATAATTTATTAAAATTTACTTACTTTTTAGGGCGTCCTCATTACGGACGTAGAAGAAGGACAACCCTGTTTGCAGTGTGGAGAAACATGTTCCGGATTCTCACCGCATACTTGGAGGTAAGTTTTTTGTGTAACGAAATAAACATTGTGACGAAAAAAAAGCTCAAAAATATAACTGTGAACACAATGTCGGATTCAATAACGTCAATTGTGATATAAACATGAGCATCGCTTTTGGTCTATTTGTAACTTTGAGATATAAAATTATCAAAATTATTTTCACTACAATTGTAGAAAAAAAGGTCTCTATGATGAAACCTTATTATCTTGTAAATAATGTTATTATCCACAGACGCGGTAAATAAAGAGAATCAAAGTCAAATTGACGAGAATCCGATCACGTAATCAGGTTGTCGAATCATGCTGAAACTGTTAGGGTTCCAATGACCGCACGACATATCCATTACCCCGGCAGCGTAACCCAGCAGCGGTGAAATTACCGCTCGGTAATTACCCTCCGTGACTTACGGCCCAGCAATGCGGTAATAGCGAATTAATTGCCTGAGGCTTTGGGGAGCAGAGGCGGGGCCACCTTCCAGCATCTCTGCTGCAAAGAGAAAGGCGGGCCCGCTGCGTCGTGTAGTGCATTTATGGTATGGAGATGGATTCACAGTTATATCCCGCCTAAGAGGATGAGTCGAAACACGGAAATCTCGGTCCGCGTTAATTGTGATTGTAATAATATGAACAAAAAAGAATGAATTCCTAAAAATAACAGCACTTGCTTTGTCACAATTTTAACTTGAAAGACACATCGAAATTTTATTTCTATTTTATAACGAAGATAAATGACGATATTGACGAGAGTATTATGGTAAAATTACGTAGATTATTCTTACAGAAATTAAATTTAAATTTAATATTGGAAGGTAATTATTTATTAAATACTGAACAATAATGTTTTTAATATTCAAAATAAATAATTCATCACTATTTTCTATTTTTATTAAATTGGATAAGTATAAGACTCAATATTAAAAGAAAATTGCAGTTAATTCCTTAATTGATATTGAAAAATATGTGTATGATATGAAATAATTTTTCTTGATTTAAAAGTGATTGCAAGCGTTATTTAATACATAAATTAAAAAAAGTATAGTTCTTATTTTAGAGAACTATATTTTTAGTTCTAGTCATTTAGTTTATCTTAAGCATTTAGAAAAAAATAGATTAAATGAAAGAGATGTTAAAATTTATTGCTTCACGTATAAAAAATAATAGTATAAAAAGTAAATTCGATTAATAATAAAATGTTCAATATTAGAAGACACACAAATTGACGCTAAAATATAAATTCACAATCATAAAGAACTCTTCTTAGTACATAAAAAAAATGAGATTCAAAGAAATTACAGTCGGGGCTGTTTATCGCGGAAAACACTTGTTAACGTCACTCGAAGTGGAGAAAGGACGAATGTATCCGACAGGGAACGTAAAATTGATGATGAATCGGTGCCGCTGTATCCTCCACGCACCGTTTTGCACTCGTTGGAAGTTAGTCTCGTTAAGCAGGAAGAGAAACAACAGGCCTGAACATAAGCGAAGAACACGGGGCGCGATTACGCTCGAGATCGTAATACGGCGGGACGCGTAAAAATAAATCGTTGACATTTATGGGCGGTGTGGTGCTTTCGGAGATGTCTCTCTCGCTCACGTCCCGGCTTCGAATGATTAATAACCGATCTCGTTGACTTAGAATAAGCAACCATTGCACAATTTTCAACTTGTGTAAACCATTCATAATTATCTTCTTTGGTAGCTACAGCTACTATAATGTAAAGTATATCTCGAAGATTGCTTTAAACATAGGATAGCTGCACCTACATGAATAATTAATTAATGAATATTGCTAGATAAATAACTTTTTATTAAATATAATATTATTAAAATATAAATAAAATATAATATCGTTATGTATTCATGCCTTAAATATTAAGGCTTCAATTTTTTCGAATATTAGTTTTTATTTAAAAAATGTACTTTATACGAAAAGATAAAAGTAAAAAATAAATAATGAAATTAGGATAGATAAATAATATCAAAACTATATAATCATCATCGTTATTCGTAAAACAAGTAAGAGGTTCTGCTCCAACGGATCCCAATAATACATATAATAGAGTTACGCGCCGACAGGACTCTTCGCATGTATCTTCGACTGTCATTCAATGCGGGGCGTAAAACTGCGTGCGTAAAACTACGAGTGTCCTCTGGCAATGTGTTGCTCATCCGAGACGTAAAATCGATTTGATTTACGACGACTGTATACTGATTCAAAATAAAGTTCTCTCGTGGCCAGTCGCCAGATCTAGCACGCGGCTCTGTCCCGGCTTTGTGAATTTGGACTATCGATGAACGGCACGGCGCCTCCTCGAATACAACCGCGTGTTGGTATTTATAGATTTATAACGTATCAAAGCCAGTCGAGAGCAAATGCAGTGGCAGCTAATTCCATAGCTCTGTCGAGACATTATAACTTAAACATGCATTTACAGTATACTTGAATGTGTTCTGCGTTATAGTAAAATTAGAAATCTATTGCACTAAAACTAAGTAATTTAAAAAAATCTTAGTAAATTTATAATAGACATACACACAGAAATAACTAAAGCAATGAAATGAAACATGAAACTGTGACATGAAAATTTCGTTTACAAGCCAACTTCAAATTTTTGTATAGTATACGAATTTATTATTGTTACAAACATTGCGATTCTAATAGAATATTAGCAAAATATTAAAAATACATAATTTTATTGGAAAGTCTCCATCGATTATTTTTGTTTGATTTCTTTAGTCATTTAACGATGAACTGAATCCATTTCAAACGATTCTTTCAAAGTGAACCGAATGCGTAGCGAACTTTACACGACTCTTTCGCGTATCTATCTTTATTTTTGCTTTTCGTATCGCGTCAAAGAAACTTCAAGCCGAAAATTTTCAGCTCGGTTTATTTCGAACTTTTCGTGCGTGATTGTCGGACGCGACAGGCGACTGACAGTGAACCGCGAAGCAACCGGTGTGATGTGTACTTTTTGAAAATTCGTAAATAATCATTCCTCAAAATGATACATGCGTTACCGCTTATTTATAATACAACACGCATCTAAATTTATTCTTGATGCCGCTACATTACTCAGCGAACGGTGATCTCGGAATTGGGGGGCTTTCACTATTAATAAAATGGTAACTGATGTCTCCAGAAATGGGAAATCTCTATACTTTCGCGTACTTTCTTCATTTGTGAATTGCGTACGGCTGCGTATTAAGTGTAGGATTATTCACTGGCGTAAAATGCATGCGCATCTCGGTTTGCTCAAACACCTAAATATACTTATTAGATATACACACTTTTTCTTTTATGAGCACTGCAACAGCGAAATCAAATAGTAACCCGTGCAATTTTCCATTTATACATATATGCCTGATATAATTCGTAAAGCTGCATAAAAATTGGATGTGATTCTAACATTATAAATTTCTCTTTTGCAAAATTTATACAAAATGTACTTAGCTCTCTTTCTGTTATTTAATTATAACAAGTATTTCAACATAATTTTTACATTGCAATGCAGAAATTAGTTATCTTGTAAATAAACAAAATATTTATTTGTTTTAAATCTTTGTAATTAATCACCGAATTGCAATAAAACTTTAAACAAGTCATTTTAAATATTTAAAGTACTTATACAAAACTTTTGCACATTTTTATTGTTTTTTAAATTTTGCAGTAAATCAACTATAAAAATGTGTTGTCCAATAAAAATCGAATGTTATAAACATAACTTATATATATAATTTATTAAAAATATAAATATTAATATATGTGCTGCATACCTTCTTAAGATCGAGTAATTAGACTTAACAATCACGATGTATATATGTACGAACACCTAGATGCAATGTATCTGTCTAAAACGCAGCTAACTTGAAGCGAAAAGGCATTATTGACCGCGAGTGTGCAATTAGCGTGTACACCCTGCCTCGATACGTACACGCTGTCTCGCGCGTCCGTGAGCACATGTGCGCCGTACCCGCGTGCTTCTCATACACGCGCTCGCGCGCGAACAGCGGCGAGCCATGAGTCACTCTCGAGCGGGCCACAGCTCGCTCTCGCCTGTAACGCGGCTTACGCGGCTCCTCTCGTCGATCTCAACGGCGCGCGGCGCGGCGCGACGGCCCGCGCACGTGCTCCGGCGACGTTATATGCGGTGGTGGCCAGTGCGGGGCCGATTGGCAGCGGCGGCGAGGCGCATCGGCACACGACCGCGTCCCGATTCCGCATACGTGCGGAACCGACGACACGCTCCTTTGGCACCTGTCGCCGTCGCGACGCGTCACACCGCACCGCACCGCACCGCACCGCGACGCGTCGCGTTCTATCGCGACGTTCCGTGCGCCGCGACGCGCCGCGCCGCCGGCGTTCCAATCGCGCTTGCTCCAAATTCCCACTTAATCGCGAATCCGTTCTCGGATCGACCGATTGGTGCTTTCGAAAGGTGCTGCGACCGTTTTCGCGAACGCGAACGGTTTATGTGGACAACTTTGTTTTTAGTCAACTAATTGAACAGTTTTGGAGAGGTTAACAAGATTATAGCAGTTTTGTTGATCCTAAGCAATTTGAAATAAACGATTTTATTAAAGTTTAAATTATTTATAAGGTGATAAGATTGATAAAGTTTAATTATAACATCAAAAAGGAAGATTATTGTATTTGTAAGTGATTCGTAAGAAGTTTGAGTAATTCTCGTTACGATTTGTGTGTGAGAAATATTTATTTTCTGCTTACTATCTAAAAATTAATTAGTGACAACATATGGGAGAATTATAACTTCTGAATGAAAGAAGGAATAGGGAGATCAGAGTGCGATAGTGTTGCCGCGTGTGTGGATTGTTTTACGCGTAGAATGCAACAGGTGAGATCAGCTGACGACGCGATCATCGCTATCGTCTTACATTCGGTGTATTCCTAATTAGTCAAACGGCAAAAGTTGAGTACGCGAGTGTAAGATTGCGTTGTTGGCAATGTATTATATCCACCGTTTGAAATAGTATAC